CATTATACACTAGGCACTTAATATTAGTTAATTTGCTTACCGTTTGCATGGATTGGAATGGAGCTGCATTTACATTGATTCCACTGCTATGTAAAGGTTTGCTTGTCCCAGCCTGAAATACTTGAGGCTGAGAAGCAGCAGGAAGGGATGATGATGCTGTAGTCTGGTCTGTATTTAAAGAGATTGTTGCCTAAACACAAAGTGAATAGATGCACTTTAGTGGTAAACTAAACTTAGCCAAACATAAAGTGAAAAGACGTACTAAAGTGGTAAATTAATCTCGAACTTATGTATATTAACAAACTCAAGAATTTCATGAAAGCAAAGTAGGTCCAACAAGAAGAATCACTATATTAATGGTAATGCACCTCTGTCCAATTCATGAGTAAGTGCCTCATCAAATGTATGCAGCCTGGTAACAGAACTTGCCTGAATCTGATCGATTGGTTCCTTCTGTGGTCGTTGCTCTGTAGCATGAGAAGGCTGGTACAAGGGTTGAGATGCTGTATACCCCTCACTTGTGGATGACACCAAAGGAACCTAGACATAAGTAAAGAAATCAAAGCTTCTTTCTGCTTACAAAATTGACTGTTAAAAACAAGCTACCTCTAAGACACATGGCGCTAAGAAATAGATACAACTGCTAAACAAGGCAGAAATACTACCATTTCTCTTTAAATTTGTGTAATATAAAACGTAAAAATTGCAAAAAGCATACTTTTGAAACTCAACATTAAACAAACCCAAGTCTAATTATAAAAGCCCTCTGTAAGTACTTCTAAGATGGCAAAATCTGCGCAAAATTTTAGAATTATGTCTAAACCATGTCTTCTGGAAATCTCCGTTCTAAATAAAAAAAAGCTTTTCATTATAATAAATTATTTAAAATGCAAGACATAAGAAAAATTTAAAAAGTCATCAAAAGAAAAATAAACCTAAATATGGAAATAAAGGCTGACAGCTATCCACTACAATGAATTTGTTGAATTCCAACAGAACACTTGGACACTGATGAAATTCATACCTTTCTGTCATAAGCTAAGAAAGTAACCAAGGAACTAATTAAAACAAAAGTGAAAAAATATTTTAAAATTATATTTTAAAAACAGAGACGGTGTCTCGCTACATTGCCCACGCTGGTCTTGAATTCTTGACCTCAAGTGATCCTCCCATCTCAGCATCCTAAAGTGCTAGAATTATAGGCATGAGCTAATTCACCTGACCCTGAAAAAATAGCTACTCTTACCTGTGTGGCTTCTGGTTGTACAGGAACTTGAGTAGGCTGAGCAAGTCTAGATTCAGAATGAACTGCAAAGGTGACCAAAAAATTTGTCATATAAGATTAAATTTTTAGAAAAGTGTCTAAATACTTTTTATTTCACGATTAAAGGCAATTTTTTTTTTTTTTTTTTTTTTTTTGGAGACAGGGTCTCACTCTGTCACCAAGGCTGGAGTGCAGTGGCGTGATCTTGGCTTACTGCAACCTCTGCCTCCCGGGCTCAAGTGATCCTGCCAACTCAGCCTTCCAAGTAGATGGCACTACAGGTGTATGTGCCACCACAGTCAGACAATTTTTGTATTTTTAGTACAGACAGGGTTTCGTCATGTTGCCCAGGTTGGTCTCAAACTCCTAGATTCAAGCAATCTGCCCATCTCAGTCTCCCAAAGTGCTGGGATTACAGGGATGAACCACCATGCCTGGTAATTAAAGGTAAATTTCTATAGTCAAACCACGAATAAACTTTTTAGCAATCATGAAATTGGGAAATGCAGATATAATTTTAGCTTTCAAGTGAGCATCTCTTTTACTAGCAGTGATTACTATTTAACAGTTTACTTTCACGATTGTTCTCTTTTTTCTAAGAGTAAAGTGTTAACGAGAATGCACTAACAAATAATCAGTACCATGAGAAAAACATTTAAAGCTGTAATAACAAAGTAGCATTATTCATACTCCAGACCTCAGATACACAGTATTCCGTTTTCATCTTTTCTTTCTTCTGAAACAGGGTCTCACTGTGTTGCCCAGACGGGAGTTCAGTGGTGCCATCATAGCTAGCTGCAGCCTTAAACTCAGGGCTCAAACAATCCTCCCACCTTGGCTCACTCAGTAGCTAGGACTACAGGTGCAGGCCACCCTGCCAAGCTAAATTTTCTGTTTTGCTAATTTTTAAATTTTTTGCAGAGGCGAGGTCTCACTATGTTGCCCACACTGGTATCAAAACTCCTTGACTCAAGTAATCTTTCCCCACTTGGCTTCCCAAAGCACTGAGATTACAGGCGTGAGCTACCTGGCTCAACATATCTTAACATTACCAATTTTCAATTAATTTCAAATGTTTCTATAGGAAAAGGAAATTTAAGATATATTCTTTTTGAGAGCCTATATTCAACTCAGCATGCATCTTCTTGACAATTCCCATCACTCTCCCACCTCCCTTCCCAACAATGATTAAACAGATAATCAAAATTACAGAATCTTTGGTTAGTCATTTAGAAAGCACCCATTTCACTGGACAGTCTAATGGACTTAGCATTATGTAAATACCTAAATAGCCTTACAGGTCACATCAGTGCTATGTGTACTGATTTTCACACGATTTACCAGCTGAGAAAACGACATAATCTCTTCCTTTAGTAGGGCTCAGAAAATGAACACTAAAAACCATGAGGGCTTTCTTATAGGCTTCACCTTTGATTTGTTTCCTAACTCTTGGTAGAAATGTGAGATACCAGCTCCCTTTACTTCAGAAAAATCCTAACTACCTTACACCAAATAATTGTCATTAAACACACTTTTACTCAGCAACATCTTTTATGATATTTAAGATCATGCAACATTAAATAGGTTATTTTATTTAGTTCCACTTTTGTTCCACTAACATTGATGTGTTCTGGGAAAAAAAACCAAGATGACTCACAATCGCTAATAGTCCTGGAAGGAAGGTCCACTTAACCCAATGGAAGATACCAATTTTATTTAGTGCTACTACTTCAAATAATGGTTAAGTCCAAAAAGAGGCTGAAACTGTCTCGCAGTTTTCTCTCATCCCTTTGCCTCTTACATATTCCCTTACCCACTTCACTGCTGTGTATTATTTTTTAACGTAATAAAATCTAGAAATTCTCCCAGAATTCTGTAAGCATTCAAAGAAAGATACCTCTATTATTTTTACTCCTAGATTAATTTTGAAATTTTAAAAGCCAAGCAAAATTTCACTTGTTAAAGTTGCAAAAACAGGCAAAACTGGTCTATTACAGTCAGAGGTAATTGACTGAGGTTATCATTCAGGGTGAGGATAACTAGTGATTGAGAGGGAACACAACATAGGTTTCTGGGGTACTGGTAATGTTTCATTTCTTAATCTAGGTGCAGGTGTTTTCAGTTTATGAGAACTCATTAAATTTGCATGTATTTTTCTATGTCTACATACCAATAAAAAGTTTAAAAATAAACAATTACAAGATTCCATTTTAAATTCAAATTATAGGAACAATAAGTTTTTTTAATCAAATTAAAAGGATCAAAATTTAATAGTCATTAAAATAAAATTAATTTTCACAAACTTTATAAAACCTGAAAGTACTGGCCTTATACTTCTCTCTCACATAAAAATGTACCCCTACTAACCTGGAGGGCAAACCAGCTGGGGCATGTCCATGTTTTGTGCTGGATTCATAGGCTGTGCAGATACAATGGCAGGATCAAGTGTCTGGTTTTCAAAATCCAGCATTGAATCCTACAGGTTAAGTTAGGATAGAACAGAATAAAGTCAAATAATATAAACACTTAAACTTTCTGATACAGTGTTTGACTAAAATGAACATACCTGTATGAAATTATAGGGACCCTGCATCTGTGCCATAAGGTCTTGTACTCGCTGTCTTCTCACAAGGGGATCTGCTTGAGCCACTGGAGTCAAAGAGTGGGGCTCTGGTACTGAAGGGGATGCAGCCTGAGGTTGCTGCTGGAGTGAATTTACCACCTAAGTTAGGAAAAAAGGTTGAGAAGGAATAGGAGAGCAAAAAAGTTCCACTTATTACCATCATGATGGGTCCCCAAACTATATATACTATCCATACTATAAACAGAACAGGCTTTAATGTAGTTACCCAAATGTATGTACATTTATGCCAAATTTAACATTCTGTAAAATGTCATCACTTCTACACTGTTTCAGTTCCACAGGATCACTATGTACATTTCAGATTTATTTATCTATTTTTTTATTGTTTTTCGTTTTGAGGCAGTCTCACTCAGTCAGCCAGGCTGAAGCGCAGTGGCAAGGTCTTGGCTCGCTGCAACCTCAGTCTCCCAGATTCAAGCAATTCTCCTGCCTTGGCCTCCTGAGTAGCTGGGATTACAGTCACCTGTCAGAATGCCCAGCTAATTTTTGTATTTTTAGTAGAGACAGGGTTTCACCATGTTGCCAGGCTGGTCTTGAACTCCTGACCTCATGATCCACCCGCCTCAGCCTCCCAAAGCGCTGGGAATACAGGCATAAGACACCTCACTCAGCCTCAGATTTTATAAGCTACTTTCGAAGGAAGATTACCTGTGTGTGTTTACGTCTTAAAATAATGTATTTTTTCTTAAAACTGCTATGTCTTCTATAGTAACTGAATTTTCAGAACCTGGTACACAGCACTCAAGAAATGTTAGCTATTATTATCATCATTCCATTTTCTCAGCCAACACCCCAGGATCAAGCTTTACCACCTCATCTAAACTGCTACAGAAGCCAAAGCTCAATTCTAGTAGTCTTTACCCAGCTCTAATAATTCCTCTGGTTATTGTTCTTATTCCCTGCTCTGCAAGGAAATCCTCACTAACTTTTATTACATCAAATTTATATTATTCTGTCTGGATTTAAAACTGGACACGTCATAACGGTTGAAACTAGGCAAAATCAGTTATTTCCTTTATAAACAACAAAGATAAAAATTGTTACCAAAGCAAAACCAAGAACTGTGTAGTACCAACTTCAAGATGTTCCAAAAATTTGTGCAATCTCATGTGGATAGCCTTTAGAAAGGCCTACCTACCAGATACTAAGAACAAACCACGCTGGCACAATGGTAAGCAGTATGCTCTTTTCAAAATGCAAAAAATACTAAACTACAAAACACAATATACATGGCTTCCCAACTTTTTCCTACTATGTCAATGATAATCTTTCACTCTAATGTTCAATAAAACAAATATACTAATAGCTTAGTTTTACTTCTACATCCACGCTAATTCATCTTGATTACCTGGTTCCCCTAAAACCATATATCCCATCTACTCAGTCAAGGCTCAATGGGTTTGTACACCTCACATAGGCAGCTGACACTTGAACAACATGGGTTTGAACTGCACAGGTTCACTTATCCACATATTTTTTTTCAACCAGTACTCTTGGGATATGAAACACCTGTATATACGTGGGTCCTGCATATACATGGCACAACTTGAGTATGAGCAGATTTCGGTGTGTGTGTGGGTGTCCTAGAACCAATGCCCCTCGTATACCAAGGAACAACTGTAAATCACCACTCTACTAATCTTTTTCATTGATTTCTCTTCTAACCCTCCTGTAACATTTCTGAACGGCACTTTTTAATTAAGTAAATACACACTATTTTGTTGGGACTTTGTAGGGCAGTATTTTCATCCAAAGTGCCTTTCTGGGGTAATTACCTAATTCTTTATCTACCAACGGGAGATTCTGGTGCTCCAATAGAGGGATGAAGCTGCTGGCACAATTATAGCATCTTTGGGCCGGGTACAGTGGTTCACACCTGCAATCCCAGCACTTTGGGAGGCTAAAGCAGGCAGATCACTTGAAGTCAGGAGTTCAAGACCAGCCTGGCCGGTGAAACCCCATCCCTACCGGGTAAGAGACTGACTCACTCAAAAATAAAAACAAACAAAAAAAATCTCTGGAATCTCTTTGGAGAATACGTTTTTTGTTGTTGTTGTTTTTACTTATTTTGAGACAGAGTCTCGCTCTGTCAGCCAGGCTGGAATACAGTGACATGATCTCAGCTTGCTACAACCTCTACCTCCCCAGTTCAAGCAATTCCCGAACCTCAGCCTCCCAAATAGCTGGGATTACAGGCATGCACCACCACACCCAGGTTTTTGTTAAATTGTTTCTAAAGTAGAGACAGGGTTTCACCATGTCAGCCAGGCTGGCCTTGAACTCCTGGCCTCATGTGATTGACCTGCCTCAGCCCCACAATGAGATTACAGGCATGAGCCACCATGTCCAGCCAGGAGAATGGTCTTGATAGAAGAATAACATACTAAAAAGAAAAGCATACTGCCCTCAGCTTAAAGCTGTTTTCCTGCACTTTGGAGGTGTCAAGACAGACATCTAAAAGAGGATCAAAAGGTAGGCCACGACCAATTGGTAAGGCTTACAAGTAATAAGGCATCACTGAGAACCTCAAGTACAAGTAACTTAAAGCTAACTCTTCCAATGATTAAGTTGTGACAATCAATAGGATGGTTCGGAGGCAGTCACAGAGCAGTAATATGAAGGGTATCACTGAACCAGACATAAGGGCCCGAAAAAAAGCATCATCTCAGTTGAGAGACAGCATTAGAAAACACTAGAGGAAGTCTACATACAGCCTGGTGACCAAACAGAATTAGGGTAAAGGAGGAGTACAAGATGATACCCCAACACACAGTTTATCACTGTGGGAGTCCAGATTTTTACAGAGCAACCTAATTTCAGAAAGAGACAAATTATGGTAACAGATAGATTAATCCGCAGGTAACTTTGCCTAAAATAAAATTTTTAAAACTGGTTCAGCAAAGCAGTGATCCTATTAAACATCTACAGGGATAAACATTCTTTTTTTTTTAAGTAACAGTCTAATGTAATGAGTTTGTTACTATAATAAATGTACTAATGATGCAAAAAACAATCTTAATTTGTTCTCAGTAAAGATAAAAATTACTAAATGAAGACAAAGACAACAACCTTGCAATACAGAGAACTCTTACCTCAACTGTTTCAACTGTCCACTCATCTACCTGCTCCTTTTCACCACTGGTGAACTGTGTTTCTGCCATGAACTGTCTATTTACATACTGCAAAGCAAAGCAAATATTTGAGAAATTTGTGTGAAAGGCAGCAAAGTAAAGGCAGCCATTAAATTAAAATCATACCTCTGTTGATTCAACTTCATTTTGCTCAGTGTACTCTTCTGCTGGCTCAGGTTCTAAGAGGTAAAAAAAAATGGTGCACAACAAAGGATTTTTAGTTAAGTAATACTACTCTGTGTTAATACCGGTAGATACATGTCATTATACATTTGTCCAAACCTATAGAATTGTAACACTAAGCGTAAACCCAGATGTAAAATATGGACTTCAGGGGATAATGATGTGTCAGTGTAGGTTTATCAATGTACCACTCTGGTGAGTGATGCTGATAATGATGGAAGCTGTGCATCTGTGAGGATAGAACGTAAATGGGAAATCTCTATACCTTCCGTTCAGTTTTGCTGTGAACCTAGAATTGCTCTAAAAAATAAAATCAGCTGGGCGCAGTGTCTCACACCTGTATTCCAAGCACTTTGGGAGGCTGAGGTGGGTGGATCACTTGAGATCAGGAGTTCAAGACCACCCTGGTGAAACCCGGTCTCTATTAAAAATACAAAAAATTAGGCCAGGCACAGTGGCTCATGCCTGTAATCCCAACACTTTGGGAGGCCAAGGCAGGCAGATCATTTGAGGTCAGGAGATGGAGACCAGACTGACCAACATGGCGAAATCCCATCTCTACTAAACATACAAAAATTAGCCAGGTGTAGTGGTGCATGCCTGAAATCCCAGCTATTCTGGATGCTGAGGCAGGAGAACTACTTGAACCCAGGAGATGGAGGATGCAGTGAGCCAGAGAATATTGCACTCCAGCCTGGGCAACAGAATGAAACTCCGTCTCAAAAAAAAAAAAAAAAAAAAAAAAAAAGAAAAAAAAAAAAAACTCCGTCTCAAAAAAAAAAAAAAAAAAAAATTAACCGGGTGTGGTGATAGATGCCTAAAATCCCAGCTACTCAGGAGGCTGAGGCAAGAGAATCGCTTGAACCCGGGAGGCAGAGGTTACAGTGAGCCAAGATCAGGCCATTGCACTCCAGCCTGGGAAACAAATGCAAAACTCCATCTCAAAAAATAAAAATAAAGTCTATTTTTAGAAACGATGCCATAAAGTATAAGAAATTATTTTTAAAGTTAAGAATTCAACTAGGCCGGGCGTCATGGCTCACGCCTGTAATCACAGCACTTTGGAAGGCCAAGGCAGGGGGATCACCTGAGGTCAGGAGATTGAGATCAGCCTAACCAACATGGTGAAACTGTGTCTCTACTAAAAAATAGAAAAATTAGCCAGACGTGGTGGTGTGAGCCTGTAATCCCAGCTACTCAGGAGGCTGAGGCACGAGAATCAATTGAACCGGGGAGGCAGAGGTTGTAGCAAGCTGAGAGATCACGCCACTATACTCCAGCCTGGGCAACACAGAGTCAGTCCCCTATCCCCACCCCTACCCAAAAAAATAAAAATAAAACAAAATAAAAAGTATTCAACTTAAGGCTGGGCATAGTGACTCACGCGTGTCATCTCAGGACCTCAGGAGGCCAATGCGGGTGTATCACTTGAGGTCAGGAGTTCAAGATGAGCCTGGCCAATATAGTGAAACCCTATCTCTACTAAAGATACAAAAATCAGCTGGGTGTGCTGGCATGCACCTGTGATCCCAGCTACTCGAAAGACCAAGGCAACTGAATCACTTGACCCTGGGAGGTGGAAATTGCAGTGAGTCAAGATCATGCCACTGCACTCCAGCCTTAGCAACAGAGCTAGACTCTGCCCCCAATGCTCCACCAAAAAAAAAAAAAAAAAAAAAAATTCAACTTAAATTCCAAATAAGTAGGCTGGCACAGTGGCTCACGCCTGTAATCCCAGCACTTTGGGAGGCTGAGGCGGGCAGATCACCTGTGGTCAGGAGTTCGAGACTAGCCTGACCAACACGGTGAAACCCTGTCGCTACTAAAAATACAAAATTAGCTGGGAGGGGTGGGATGGTGGCACATGCCTGTAATCTCAGCTACTTGGGAGGCTGAGGCAGGAGAATTGCTTGAACCTGGGAGGCAGAGGTTACAATGAGCCAAGATAGCACCCTTGCACTCCAGCCTGGGCAACAAATCTCA